GTATAACAAGTGATACTTCTTCTCACAACTAAATGTTCGAAAATGTATCGAATGTTTGGTTATCGCTTCTTGCAACAACTGCCGTGCATCAATGTCAGCATCAACTGTTAGGGGAAGGGTTCTTCCTTTTAGGGCTTTTAAGGAAACATCTTTGTCGTACTGTTTTATCCCGATCTGTATCTTCACTCTTCCACGCAAAGTTGCTTTTTTTCCCCTTGATGGTAAGGTTTTTACCCTGTTAGTTGCTTTTGCTTGTTTAAATTCTTCAAAAGTAATTGCCCGAGCTTTTGCGTGTGCTTCAGGCGTGGATGCATTGCAACTAAATTGCTGCATCTCTGACAAACCTGAAACATAATAATTCAAGCTTCATAATTATATTTGGGGGGATAAAACTTTAATATAATTCCGTTAGAACGAACACGTGCAACACAAAGTCAAAGATTGATATATTGCAAATAAACTTCACGATTAAGCAAATGTACTCGGATTTCTGCTACACACGTTATTTAAAACTTACTATTAAATAGTTTCTTTCCACAGCTCGGACAGAAGTTCGACTTATCTTCAACATGTTCTCCGCATTGTATACACAACTTCATGGTTTCATTGGCTTGTTGCTCGTTATGGTGTAGTTGGAGTTTGTTTTGAGTTCGGTTCTCCCCCTACCCCGACTTTGAGTGTGTGCACGTGTGTTATTTTTGCCAGGGGGTAAGAGAGTGTTCGGTATGTTTATTTGTATAGAGAAAGATAAATTCAACGTGGAGAAGGGATTATTTGCTCGTAGCAACCTTTCTTTAAGTGTGGAGAAGTAGCATTTCAACAAGCAGAAGGTTAACATTTGTGTGGAGCAGTTCGTTTTTCATGCAGCAACATTATATTTGTAAGGAGAACACTCGGGTTTGTACGTAGAAACTTGATTTGTATGCAACAGCTACATATTTCTACGCAGAAGCTGTGGCACATACGGGCCACCGTAATCCGTTGAATCGGGTAATTGTCAGGTTTAGTTACGTGATTTAGTTTTCGGTAGTCAGTACACATGCGGTAACTTCAATCAGGTTTAGGAACAAGAATACATGATGAGCTCCAACTACTTTGGCTAGATTCAATGAAGTCATTCTCGAGAAGGTAGGAAATTTCTGTATCTAGATATTTCTGCTTTGTTGGATTAAGGCGATAAGGATGCTGCTCCATGGGAGTTGCGTCACCAATGTCTACGTCGTGGGCAACTTTATTGGTTCGTGAAGGTACGTCAGGAAACAAATTTGGAAATTTGGCAACAAGAGTTTCTATGTCTTTTCGTTTTCCTTTGTCAAGATGACCAAGTTTTAATTTCATATTTTGTAGGACATCGGAATTGTGTAGTTTTGTCGACTCAGACAGATTGTAGAGTTCTATTCCATCATCATTGTTATTGTTTAAACTATTATTTGTTTCTGTCTCAACTGTGGTTACCACTCCTACATCATTCTTTCCCTCGGTACATTCTCTTTAATAATACGGTTTTAACATATTTACATGAGAAAGTTGTTTTGCCGTACATCTATCAGGGGTGACTATTACATAATTGTATTCATTCTCTTTGTTTTAAATAAGGGCCAGAGTAACGCGCTTGGAGAGTGTTCCCAGAAACAGGAAGTAATGCGAGAACCTTATCTCCCTGTTGAAAAGTACGACTGGTAGAAATCTTGTCGTATTGGCGTTTCATGCATTTTTTAAGCTGACATAAGGTTATCTTTTGCTAAATCCCATGCATTTGACAGTTTAGTTCGAAGCTTAGAAACATATTCTGAGACATTCAATGATTCACCACCGTCATCAAGTAACTCATCCTTTAAAATACTGAGTGGTTCCCGTACAATGTGACCGAAAACAAGCTCGAAAGGACTAAAACCTAAGGATTCTTGTATTGATGCTCTAGCTGCAAACTAAAGAAAATGAACGCCTTCGTCCCAATGTTTTTCAATCTCAAAACAGGATGTGCGTATCATGTTTTTTAATGTTTGGTGAAATCGCTCAAGTGCACCTTGGCTCTCTGGATGATATGCAATGGACTTGTATTGTTTGATGCTTAAAGCATGCATTACCTTTTGGAAAATTGTTGACATAAAATTTGATACCATATCTAGGCAAACAGGGTGAACGTTTGGTTTTCAATCTTCTTCGTAAAATTCGCTGTAGCTTAAAAATTCCCACCAAACCTATAGTTACATATGAAACAAAAAAGACATCAATTTTCTGTCCTAAAAAGGACAAATTTCTGGAACTCTCTAAAGCCAATGTTATATATGAATTTAAATGTCCAGGCTGTGGTCATACATACATTGGCAAAACTGAACGAAACCTACACACAAGACTAACCCAACATGCTACTAATTACAATAATTCTAGTGCCATCTCACAACATTTACTCATTTGTCCAGACGCCAACTACATCTCACACCTTTTCTCAATTCCTGACATTGATTCCGACCCCGATCTCACACGCGTGCCACTTAATCCTTGTAATTTGATTCCAAGTAACACCAAAATCTTATATCGCTGTAAAGATAATAATCCTAATCAACTTCTCATCTTAGAAGCACTTTTTATGAAATGCAATATGCCACAACTTAATAGTGGTCAACTAATAATATCTCAAACAAAATCTGTTTGCTGTCATCACATCTATTAAGCAATTATCTTCAATACCTTTGACTGGTACAATCTGACACTGACTTCAACAAAATCTAAAATATGTGTTCTGTATTAGACCAAGATGCAAAAAATTGTGTTCACCGCTTTAATGTATTTAATAATCAAAGTGTGTTATGACAAAATTCGGAAGTTTTAATACATAGAATCATACCTAAATTCAAAACGGAATTAAGTAAATTCGAGAGAATACTAATAACAACTCAAACCAAACCCATTTGCTGTCATCACATTTATTAAACAATTATCTTCAATACTAATGGATGATGATGGAATCTGATACTACTAACTTCAACAAAATCAAAAATATAAGTTTTATGATAAAATCTATATGCAAAATTTTTTTTCACCACTTTAAAGTATTTAATACTCAATGCAGTTTGTGTTATGCGAAAAATTGCAAGTTTTAATGTATGTGAAACAAGTAAAGCCTGGTTCACACTAGTCGTAAGAGTCGGAAAAATCGTAGAATTTTATCATATGCGACCGTCCCAGTAGTTAATTGATAAGTGTGAATATGGCAAATACGCGATCCCAGATAATCTGCGACAGAGTCATAAACATCGGGAAAATAGGAATGCTTTCTATTTGATTCCGATGTCCCAGTAAAACTGCGCCAATCGGGGATTCGTACGACAAATTACGACAAGTGTGAACATGAAATCCGAAACGGGGACGATTGTTCATTTATGGAAATTATAAAAGAGTTTCCAAGTATATACAACCGTAGCAGTGCTCAATTCAAGGACAAGAATATCAAGTCCAATGCGTGGAAAGAGATTGCATCCCTTCATACAGGCATGGATGTGAATACGTGTAAACAAAGATATGAGAGCATTCGAACCATATTTTCGTGGTATCTTAAGAGGTGCAAACTGCCTTCTGGATCTGGCAGTGATTTGGTAATATTGGAGGCCAAATACAAACATTTGCGCTGGTTGTGTCCCTTCATCAAATCACGATCGACTTGTTCAAATATTATTATGCCTGAAGAGTCACTCAAAGTTTCTGGTACAAGTATGGATACTAGTAGGGAAGAAGAAAATGAGGAGGAAACAGTTTGTGTTTCAGAATATAAACCTTCCCTTGAAATACTCGAAAGGTGTGATGTCATGTAGACAGTACCTTACAATTGTGTTTTCATATTTTAATTTTCATCAATTTTTTTGTCAAAAGTACTAGTGCAACGGATGCTCAAGTAACGTGGTCAGCCAAAAATCAAAAAAAATCACCAGCTCATGTAAAAAGGCCATGGTATGGTCAAATGAGCACAGGCAGCCAAATGCAGATCTAGAACTTTGCAAAGTCATGCACAGCTTTCAGAAGTCACTTGAGGCCTCATGCAAACTGCAAGATGAAAACCCAACTATGTCAGCTGATGTCCACTACTGTTTGTGTTTGGCTGAAAGAATGAGCAAGTTCAATGACAGATTAAAGGTTTATGTTAGGCATTGCATAGAAAAGATTTTTTTGACTTGGAATTTGGAAATGTTATGTCATCTAGTGTAGGCAGAAGTTGAAAATGATATTTTTAGCATGTATTGTAGATGTACATCATGAAATATCAACCCTTGTTACTTTAAAGTTACAGTTGAAGTGACTCCAGTTAATGTGGAGCAGTGACACTCGTTGAACTGTTTGATATTGTTACTATCATTATAGTGATCATATTTAACTTTATATACAAACAATGTTATGTGATCAATAAACGTTACACGTCATCCTTGTTATATGTAGCAGTAGCAAAATCCTCCCGACAGTTCCTTACATGTTTTAATTGCCAAGCCACTGAGCCTTTTCTGCTGTTGAAATATTTCTCAAAGCTTTCGATTTCGCATCATTGCCATACTTAATGATTCTTTGCAGCAGAGATCTCATCCCACCTGAATTATTACAGGGTAATTAAGGGCCAATCCCCTGGAATAATTGCACCGCTTCGATCTTCTCTGTCAACAAAGCCTTTTGGAACATAATGAGCATTGTCTCTTAATTGTAAATAGTTGTGTAGACAAACACAAGCTTTAACAATACTGTCAACATTACAAGGTTTCCCCTTGAAATATTCTCCAACATGCTGATAAGATGCCAAATGCATTTTCGATAACCCTTCTACATCTGCTAAGTCTATAGTTAAATACTTTTTGGGACTCAGTTAAGTTGCTTCCTGGATATGGTTATATTAGATATGTTTTTAAACCAAAAATGTCATCAGCAACAATAACATAAGGCAGTTTTTCAGATGCACCAACATTTTCTGCTTCTGGGATGTTAAATGAACCTGATGCAAAGCCTTTTCCAATGACTGATTAATTAAATATATTGGCATCATTGTCCTTTCCAAAGCTTCCAATATTAACCATTGTGAAGCAATATTTTGCATCACAGATTGCTAACAGTACAATACTGTGAAAACCTTTGTAATTAAAAAAGTCAGAACCTCCTCTTGCTGGACATTCAATCATTATATGCTTCCCATCTAGTGCTCTTAGACAGTGTGGGAAGTCCCATTCGTCCAAGAAGTTTTTTGATATTTCCTTCCAATCGGTTATTGTTTCAGGTGCTTTCAAGTACTGAAAGCTCAATGCCTTCCAGATTCCAGCACATGTCTCTTTCACTATTCCACAAACAGTACTTCGTCCTATTAGGAAGTTAAACGATTGGGATTGCTGAGAATCGCCACTGGCCAAATATCTCAACGTTATCACCAGCCTTTCAGATGGGCTTATAGTTTCACGAAGACGTGTCGTTTGTTTTGCTATATGTGGACCCATTAATGACAACAAATGGTCAAACCGCTCTGGACTCATTTGGAGGTATCTAATAATAATCATGATATGGGAGCCGTTATCAATCATGTTTAATAGCTATATAAATTTAACTCATCAAATCATCTTTAAATTATCATACAACTAAAATATCATACAACTAAATATCATACAACTATAATGATCATGCAACAAAATAGACTATGAGACTGCATGTTTCTTGTTTTTAATTTTACTCGCAAAGTTAAGCAATGTAGGCTGTAGCTACCTGAAAAAATATTCTCGGTCTGAAGATCGTAGTTCGTAAAACAGTTGGTGAAATTGTCCATACTCTTTTCTTTTTTGCAAATGTGGTCGCACCCAATGCTTTCGCCTTCTTTCTATTTTCTTTTTTTGTTGCTTTTTTAAACGACTTTTCATATGGACAATAGTTAATAGCAAAAGAAATTGTCCATGCAACAAGAGACGTCTATTTACAGCCGCCATGTTTAAGTTTTTTACTGTGCGTAATACGCAAGTGTGAACGTTTCGGTGTCATTCATCCCTGACAAATCGTATCTATCGGAGTAAATACGTCGCCGACTAGTGTGAACCAGGCTTAAACGCAAATACAGCATGTTTGTGGGGTCATAAGGTTATATTTGCGCAAAAAAATTTGATCTATAAAATTCAAGCATTTATTTCATCTACTTCACTAGCAACCATACACTTATGGCGAAAGCAGTGAGAAACAAACGGTGCAAGGAAACAAAGAAAAATGAGAAAATGCCAAAAAGAAAGAATATTACAATACAGAAGACGTCAAGCAAACATTAAACAACAAAATAGGGAAAAAAATAAAATATACAACCACATAACAAAAGATTTTTGCAATGAAATGATAGACTTGATTGAAAAAGAAGCAATTAAATTTGAAGAAGTCACCAAATAAAGACAAAGACAATTGGAACACGACATGAAATTAAATGAACTAAAGAAAAAACAAAGGAAAATGTAATTAGAAAATGTAAAGATTACTTAGATATTATTTTTTTAGATGTTAATATAACCGAAGATGAAAAACAACTACATTTTAATCGTTTAAACAAAATTTTTGATGAACTATATTAAATTTATTCAGAATAATATTTCACTTTGTCTGTCATCGTTTTTTGATATCACACTCAATTCAATTTTGAAGTTCTTCATCCAACTTAGCTTGTGCTAATAGTAACTTTACTTGAGGATTTTCTTTTATTTTTTCATAATCAGTTAACAAATTGTTTAAGCAATCGCATTCATCTTGCAAACCTTGAATACTTTTAAATATTCAACATGACTTGCTTCATTCCGCGCTAGATTCTCTTTCAATTCATCTTTCAAAGCTTGAATATCTTTTAAATATTCATTATTTTTTGCTTCATTTTGCACTAGCCTCTCTTTCAATTCTTCTAATTCACTCTGCACGTCAAGTATTTCTTTTGTTAATTCGCGAATTTTTTTATAATTTTCGCTAAGTTCGATGTTTACATCATCATCATCATCACCTATATAATAAAATTTTCTTTTGAGCCAATTTAATGTGTTTGGACTTGAATTTTCTGATGCATTTGGACTTGAATTGTCTGATGTGTTTGCAGTTGATCCTTGTGATTCCATTTTATAAAACAAACTTAACAAATATATGACACGTTAGTTCTTCAATGCATACAATTTCAAACAGCGAGTCTTTTATATATGAGATATAAATGATTTTTCTGCAAAAAAATAAATTTCGAACAAAGTTTGTATTAAAAAACCAAAAATAAATTTAAGCATGCAAATATGAAGCGTTCAAGGTTATCATGCATATAATAACCATATATAGTAAGTAAACTGCTATAGTGGCGAGAATCTCTCGTCCATACGCAGTTTAAAAGAGATTTGACTTGACTCCAATCCCTGTGGGCTTGGTAGCTCAACAGGTAGAGCGGCGGACTAGTACCCAAAGGTGCGAGTTCAAATCTCGTCCAAGTCACATGTTTTTCATGTGCATGTAAAAACCGTGTTAGGATTAATATATTAAGTATATACTCTGATGATGGCTTTGGAATAAAGTCGAAACACGGTGCCATCCAGTAAACTGCTATAGTGGCGAGAATCTCTCGTCCATACGCAGTTTAAAAGAGATTTGACTCGACTCCAATCCCTGTGGGCTTGGTAGCTCAACAGGTAGAGCGGCGGACTAGTACCCGAAGGTGCGAGTTCAAATCTCGTCCAAGTCACATGTTTTTCATGTGCATGTAAAAACCGTGTTAGGATTAATATATTAGTAATAAAAACATGTAGTAATTCTTCATTGACGTCAAACAAAATGCAAAGCATTCTAATTAGTAACTTCTAGACACTCAGTAATGTCAATCAAATTGAAAAGTCAAGGTTATGTTATAAATTTAAACAAAAAATAGTATCAGGTTGTACCAAGTACAACCAAGGCTATGTAACAAGTTCAACCAAGGGTAATCACACCATAAATGGAAGAAATGAAAGGAAATACAATTTTTATATCAAATTTGAGTAGTATATAAGAGCGTGCTCGTTAAAAATTTCTTTATTATAAAGAAAAAATGGCATCAAACGTGTCATATGAAAATTTTTAACTTTATTTGAAAGATAAAAGAAACAACAATCGTTTTGATATGTTTATAAAGAGAAATAATTATAAAGAAAAAATTTAAAAGCAAAAGAAAATCAAGAAGAAAATCAATTTCAAGAGAATAATGAATATGTTTCTCTACTAACACCAATACTGAATTGGACAAATACTGAGACAAATACCGAGACAAATTCTGAGACAACCTGCATCGAAAATCAAAATTGTGCATCATCATCACCAGATTCTCCACAACCCATGGATGAAGATACAGAAAAAAGTGATGGTAAAACTCGTTTGAATACTTATCACGATGATATTTAAAAATCATCTCCTTTACCAATAATTAATAATGTATATTCATCAAAAAATTCTCCTACTAAAAAAATACAACTCATGAATATCATGTTTCCAATCTCAACTACAAGTATGATGTCACCAAGCACGTATTCTTTCTTAAATTACAATATCCCCACACTGCGCACTATTTTAAGAGAACTTGAAGAGGTTGAATTTAATCAAGATCAAGGATTTACATCTCCTCCTAATAATAATACTGTGAATCAAAATAAAAGAAATACATCTCCTCCTGAACAAATGAATCAAGATCAAGGATTTACAACTCCTAATAATACTGTGAATCAAGATCAATTATTTGCTAATCCCAATCTAGTATTTACAAGTCCTCCTCATAATATTAATGAATGGTTAGGAAAAAAAAGACAATTAATGGATGCTACTGAAAGTATAAAAGAGAGGACGTCCGACCAAAAAAAAAACTTGAAGAATACAACAACGAAATCGCTAAAAATCCTGAATACTCTTGTAATATGTTATATTTAAACACCGAACAAAATTGTGTTAGTAGACAATTTTATTCACTTATAAAAGGAAATATTATATGTAAAAATGAGGAAGAAGTAATTTTTTTAATTGATCTATTTGAGATAAGAAAAAAATTACTTGATCAATTAAAAGATCTCAACCAAGAAATTAATTTAAACAACACAATGGAGTATTTTTTTTGAAAAATGTCTTAAAATTCACTTATATATATCAGTTTGTAAATACTTCATATCATACTTCATATAATAAAAAAGTTTTTTGTATCAGATTGTACCAGACACGGGTCTTAACGATGCTTGTTTAATTGATGGAATGGGAGTTGGTGTTAATAAATCACCTCTACATATCAGACAATTAAAAACCCATTTAATAATAATTGTCTCAATCAATCAAAAGGTATTTTGTGTCCACATTTTAACATTCCAAATCCAGTTAATGTATCTTCCAAACATATCATACATTTATCGTGTACAGTATCTTTTTTGCATATATATTGATTTTTTCCTTTTTCCTTTTTCCTTTTCGAAACACAATCTGTGCAGCATCGAGCACTGTACTTACGGAGATTCAAATAAACAAAACTTCCTATATATATATATATATATATATATATGAGAAAAAGAAAATACACAAAACTACAATTTCATCCGACAAGCCTGTTTCGTGATTTCTCACCTTCAGGGATAATATTAAATGAATACAAAGCATGTGCTAGATATATATACAAGAGGAAGTTAGGTTAAAAATTGAGATAGAATTACATAATATATTGAGTGTTCGATTACAAATTACATAAAAGTGCTTTGTGTCTATGGCGACAAGAGTAAGTTCGTTACGTTTGTTGAGTGATGATAGTTGTGGTTGGTAGGTGATGAAGAGTTTTCTTTCAGGCATAGGTTGCTTTTGTTGATGCTGTGAGTAATGATGTTCCATGAGATATTTGTTGTCTTTAGTGTCCATATGTGTTTGCTGAGTTCGGTGGAGTTTCTTAGTAAAAGAGGCAGTATGGTTTCTGTGTCGAGTCTTAAATTCGTTTCTGTAAGTCCGATGTAGGTCTCAGTTGTGTTATTGTCTAAACGTTTAACAGTTGCTTGGTAGATGACAGATGATTGTAGGCAGTTTCGGGCAGTTTTGTTTTGACGGCGCATGTTTTGTTTGTGTATTTTGTCATTGATGGTGTCATTAGTATTGTCAGGTTCTCTCAATATGCGTTTGTTATGGCTATTAATAATATGTTCCATATTGTTCATGCAGCTGTAACTTAATTTAATTGTGGAAATAGTTTTCTGAGTTTGTGGTCTATGGGAAAGTGCTTTCAATTAGTGAAATGAATTTGTTGTTTGTGCTGACGTTCTGCTGTATGGTGGGTTGTACCAGAGTATGTTATTTCTAAGTCTGTTTTTCCGTTTCGTAGTAGCGTTTTCATATTTCAGGTGTAATTCCATTTTCGTCTTTTGGTATGGAGGGATAATGATGCTCTGTCGGATGATAAGGATGAAAGGTGTTTGTTAATGGTATCGGGTATGTTCTTTGTAATGCTTGGAGGATGGTTGCTTTCGTGGTGGATGTATTGCAAAGAAGTGTAAGGTCGATGGGAAGAATTCTTTAGATCGAACGTAATGTCGAGGAAGTT